ATCGATCAATCGATCAATCGATCAATCGATCAATCGATCAATCGATCAATCGATCAATCGATCAATCGATCAATCGATCAATCGATCAATCGATCAATCGATCAATCGATCAATCGATCAATCGATCAATCGATCAATCGATCAATCGATCAATCGATCAATCGATCAATCGATCAATCGATCAATCGATCAATCGATCGATCAATCAATCACTTATTATTTAATTTCTCATTAAATCAGTCAATCGATCAATCCACCCACCCACCAACCAACCAACCATTCAGCCGCAAGTCTTGTCACCCCGGGCTACACAACAACAGTCAACATACCGGGCATCGGGCCAGCCCTGGCCTACTGTGCCCCCACTCAAACTAGCTTAAGTTAGTTTTCTCTCAATCATTCCTCCAATTAATCAATCAATCGATCATCCAATTAATCAATCAATCAACCCATCAATAAATTAATCAATCAACCAACCAAGCAGGTAACTTGCCGTACAATCAAATCACAATCCCGTCCGCTACATCCTGTCTTCCAATCACGAATCTGGTCAGTGTGAGGGTGCCCTGGAATGACCAAGTTGGGCCAGTCCTATTGGTCACTAATCTACACGAAGAGGTTTGCTTGGAAGTATTTTTTTCCTTATTAGCCAAGCGGTTAAGGCGCCAAATTTTCTGGGTAACGTATCGCAAAGACCTGGTTCGATTACAAGACTATTCTCTCGCTTGATTCATTGTGCTCGTTGATTAGCAAATTTGATTGTGATTATTAAGATGATGATAATGGTTAAAAGATAACAGGTATGATACGCTGTTGTGAGTGCTGATTATGATGTGACAGCTGTCCTGATGATGATGATGATGATGATGACGACGATGATGATGACGACGATGATGAAAACGCTAAAATACCTTATCGATGACGACATTAAAATATTGCAAAAAAATTGTATTAAGCCATACAATTTGCGTGCGCTGTTCAAGGAGTTCTGCCTACACGCACACACACACACACTCACACACACATACACACATATATACACACGTACTAAAATTCCCCGAAGAGTTATACACATAGTGATATTGCATCCTTCAAAATTCAAGATAAATAACAACTGCTAGAACAGAACTAGCCATCCATTAAATGTGCACGTGTGTGG